TCATTTCGGGGGGGGTCTCTTCCAGGCTATCTTGGAGGGCCTGGGGGGGTCCGGGGACGATGTTTTGGAGGGTTCTCCCACGGGGGGGGGGGTCTAAAACTTCTCGTCTGGGAGGGTTGAGACCCCCTCCCTTTTATTACGAAATCTGGAGTATGTTTATTCAGTTTCTGGTCCTCTGTCTTCCCGCTTCTGCTTCCTCTGGAGGTCCGCCCCGGCGGAGCTGGCTGGCGAGGCCTCCGCATTCCTGAGGACTTTCAGGAGGAAGTCTTCGACCGAAGGTCAGAGGAGGGCGAGCTGAGACAATGGTCGCGCCAGGCACTTTTGCCTCTGATAGCTGTCTTTGGTCCAGAACGTGTCTCCGACATTCCAATGCCCCTCGCCACAAGGTGCGTGTCCTGCGCAGTCTACATTGCAATGGCCTTCGCTTCGCCGCGAGACTCGCCCCCTGGGGCCATCACAGCTCGATCTGGCTCGAACAGTGTAGCACACAAATGAGGCGTCCGTGGGGCTCGGGCTGCGATTTTCTGCGATCCTGCTTGTCTTCGCAACGCGAGATCTCAGTGCACAAAGGTTGGGTTTCGGGGGCCCCCTGGTATCTCTGGGGACCGGTGCGTTTGTTGGACCCCGGCGGGGCTCCAGGGTCCGATGCGTCGGGAGCCTTGAGACGGGGGTCAATGCAAACGGGGGTCAGCCAGAGCGCCCGATCTTGCAGGATCCTGCAGGGCCAGGGTCGCATTGACCCGGGTTTGGGCGCAGGGGCCTGCGGGATCTTGCGGGATCCTGCGCGTTGACCCAGGCTCGGGCGCAGGATCTTGCAGGATCCTGCAAGGCTTGGCCAACCCGGGTCTGGGTTGACCCGGGTCACGCGAGCGAAGAACGGTATACAATAATTTTTCCGCCGTCGGGGACACCTGCCCCTGGGCGGCTGGAAAGTTCATACCCCTACGGTGCCACTGTAAGGGTCTAAACTTTCCAGCCGCCCTGGGACAGGCGCCCCCGACAGCGAATAAATTTATCTTTTATACCGTTCCTCGCCCGTGAAGGGTCAGCAGATCCCCGAATACGGAGCTGCCGTGTGTCAGAGCGTGAATTGCCTACCCCGCTCTCGCTTCCAGGCAAAACCAAGCCATACCACGCGCCTCCTCGTCGAGCGGCCTGACCAGCACAGGCTGCAATTTGGCAGCATGTGGTATCTCTTGGAAGCGAGGGCGGCCAAAAACGAGGTAGGTTTGTTTCCCCCCTGGTGTGTCTCCGCGCGCCCTGCTCCGAGCAGGGCTGCAGGCGGTGGCCGGCCCGTGGTCCCAGGCGGCGACGCAGAGCTCCGCGGGGGGCGCGGCGCCCTCGGCCGCCCTGGCGCGCTCCGTGCAGCTGCTGCACGCGCTGCACACCAGGGCGGCGGCTGCCGCGGGGGGGCGCTGGTCCTGGCATTTTGTTTTTCCTCCTCCTCCTCCTCCTCCTCTTCCTCCTCCTCCTCCTCCTCCTCCTCCTCCTCCTCCTCCTCCCCTTCTTCCTCTTCTTCCTCCACCCCCTTCCCCCCTCAAACTTATCGTGGTGATGGTGGAAAACAAGAGCGTCCTTGATCATTCGGCGAAACAAAAACGCACGAAACCGGAAAAACACAGGGAATGGACGTCCGAGCAATGGCGAGTGGTGAGTTCCGCGAGGGTGTGGTCTGCGAGCTGCGTCGCTCGGGTGAAGTCGGGCCTGTCCCTCAACAGGGGAAGTGTTCAAAATTAGCCTGACGAAAGACCCAACCATACGTAGTTGTGAATACCAGAATTGTGGATACATTCTTCGGTGGCGCCCCCGGGCCACGAAACGAGTGACGGGTGTGCCGAAATGGGGGGGCGGAGCCGCATGCGAGCGCAGCCACTGGGGCGCTCGGTGGAGCTCCCTATGGAGCCACGAAGCGTGTGAGGGGTGTGTGCCATAATGGGGGGTGGAACCGCATGCGGGCGCAGCCACTGGGGCCTTCGGTGGAGCTCCCTATGAGGCCACGAAACGTGTGAGGGGTGTGCCAGAATGGGGGGTGGAACCGCATGCGGGCCAGCCACTGGGGCCTTCGGGTGGAGCTCCCTATGGGGCCACGAAACGTGTGAGGGGTGTGCCAGAATGGGGGGTGGAACCGCATGCGGGCGCAGCCACTGGGGCCTTCGGTGGAGCTCCCTATGGGGCCACGAAACGTGTGAGGGGTGTGCCAGAATGGGGGGGTGGAACCGCATGCGGGCGCAGCCACTGGGGCCTTCGGTGGAGCTCCCTATGGGGCCACGAAACGTGTGAGGGGTGTGCCAGAATGGGGGGTGGAACCGCATGCGGGCGCAGCCACTGGGGCCTTCGGTGGAGCTCCCTATGGGGCCACGAAACGTGTGAGGGGTGTGCCAGAATGGGGGTGGAACCGCATGCGGGCGCAGCCACTGGGGCCTTCGGTGGAGCTCCCTATGGGGCCACGAAACGTGTGAGGGGTGTGCCAGAATGGGGGGGGGTACCGCATGCGGGCGCAGCCACTGGGGCCTTCGGTGGAGCTCCCTATGGGGCCACGAAACGTGTGAGGGGTGTGCCAGAATGGGGGTGGAACCGCATGCGGGCGCAGCCACTGGGGCCTTCGGTGGAGCTCCCTATGGGGCCACGAAACGTGTGAGGGGTGTGCCAGAATGGGGGGTGGAACCGCATGCGGGCGCAGCCACTGGGGCCTTCGGTGGAGCTCCCTATGGGGCCACGAAACGTGTGAGGGGTGTGCCAGAAGGGGGGGTGGAACCGCATGCGGGCGCAGCCACTGGGGCCTTCGGTGGAGCTCCCTATGGGGCCACGAAACGTGTGAGGGGTGTGCCAGAATGGGGGGTGGAACCGCATGCGGGCGCAGCCACTGGGGCCTTCGGTGGAGCTCCCTATGGGGCCACGAAACGTGTGAGGGGTGTGCCAGAATGGGGGGTGGAACCGCATGCGGGCGCAGCCACTGGGGCCTTCGGTGGAGCTCCCTATGGGGCCACGAAACGTGTGAGGGGTGTGCCAGAATGGGGGGTGGAACCGAATGCGGGCGCAGCCACTGGGGCCTTCGGTGGAGCTCCCTATGGGGCCACGAAACGTGTGAGGGGTGTGCCAGACTGGGGGGTGGAACCGCATGCGGGCGCAGCCACTGGGGCCTTCGGTGGAGCTCCCTATGGGGCCACGAAACGTGTGAGGGGTGTGCCCGAATTGGGGGGTGGAACCGCATGCGGGCGCAGCCACTGAGGCCTTCTATGGGGCCACGAAACGTGTGAGGGGTGTGCCAGAACGGGGGGTGGAATCGCATGCGGGCGCAGCCACTGGGGCCTTCGGTGGAGCTCCCCATGGGGCCACGAAACGTGTGAGGGGTGTGCAAGAAAGGGGGGTGGAACCGCATGCGGGCGCAGCCACTGGGGCCTTCGGTGGAGCTCCCTATGGGGCCACGAAACGTGTGAGGGGTGTGCCAGAATGGGGGGTGGAACCGCATGCGGGCGCAGCCACTGGGGCCTTCGGTGGAGCTCCCTATGGGGCCACGAAACGTGTGAGGGGTGCCAGAAGGGAGGGGGAGGAGGGAGGAGGAAGGAGAGGAGGAGGAAGGAGGAAGGAGGAACGCGGGGACCGTCTCTTCAAAACGAGGACCCAACAACACAGGTTGGTTGGGAAATATGTTGAGAGAGTCTGGGGGTTGGTTGGGAAATATGTTGAGAGAGTCTGGGGGGTATTTGTTGAGTTTTTTCTTTTATATATATATACATATACATATATATACATATATAATATATATATATATATAACATTTTGGAGTATTCTTTAGTACTTCATTATTGCTATCATTATTCTTCTGTTTCTTTTTAGTATTGTTATTCTTCGTCGAAAATCCCCCTGTAGGGGGACAGGCCAGACTTAACGCTCGGGCGGGTGGTAATGGTCGGCCACGCGCAGGGGGTGGGGATGGGGGAAGGGCGCGGGCCTTCTAAGACGTAGCGCTTCGCCCTGCATCTTAGAAGGCCCAGCATCTACAGAAAGGCGGCCTTACATTTCAGAAGGCCCGACATCATCATCTTAACGTCCTGCATCTTAGAAGACCCTACATCGTGGACGGCCCTACATCTTAGGAGGCTGCTTCTTAGAAGGCGCGGCCCTACATCAACAGAAGGCCCGCGTCTTGTAAGGCAGCCTTTTAAGAACCCCCCCCCCGCCCTCCACCCCCTTGTGCGCACCGATGAGGTGGTTGCGACAGCGCGCCGCCCTCGGACTCGACCCCAGGCCAGGCTCCCTCTTTGATCGGACCCCCCCCCACAGAGGCTGGGAACCGCTCGCCCCTCAATCTTCTCAGTGACCCGTTTTAGGTATCGTTTATCCAATCCCCATCCCCATCCCCATCCCCTTCGAGACCCCCACCAAATTACCGCCCCAGTTGGGGATACACCCCTCGAAACCCGAAGGGGACGGCCTATATCCCCATCTAGGGGGTAAATCGGCCAGTGGGGCCCAGGCCACGTCGCTGGGGATGGGGATCGGTTAAACGATACTCACGTTTGGGGTCCCCAAGTACCGGCAGCGAGTCGACTCTTACCGATACCGGTACCGATGCCTTTTTTGTGCGCACCGCCCAAAGTGGGGGGGGGGGGACCCAAGTGGGGGGGCGAAGGAAGAGGCCCTGAGTGGGACCCTTTCGATTCCCTTTTGGACATCATCTGGCTCCACAAGTGGCCCCCTTTTTTTTTTTTTTTTTTTTTTTTTTTTTTTTTTTGTTTTTTTTTTCCCCATCCTACTGTAAGACCGCATCCCAGACATAATTTCGAGCACCCGGAAAAGTGTCAAAAGAGTGTCGACACAGTGTCGAAGCAGTGTCCGGCGAGTGCCGCCCAGGGCCCGACACGTGAAAACCCCTTGAGTTTCGGCACTTTTTGGGGGCGCGCGAAATTCTTCTTGGTGCTCAAGGCTAAAGTCGGTTGGAGCGTCATAACCCAAAGTGTTCAGTGGGGGTCCTTTTCTTCACCCCCCATTTGGGTTACTTCCCCCATTACCGCCCGCTCGAGTAGCTGGGGTTTGTGTGGCACCACGTTGCCCTCGTCTGGCCTCTTCGGGGCGCGGGCAGAGAGCTCTGTCGAGATCCTCGCCCGTCCCCCCGGGTGCGCGTTGCAAGCCGTGCTCTTTTTGTGCACCCAGGCATGTTCACGGGCGACCGACCTCTCGACCGCTTCCCTGGGACCGGCGGTTCATCCCCAGTCGTCTTTGGGGGGCCCCCAGGCCCAGTGAGGGTAAAACAACGCGGACAAAATCGGATCGGGATAACTCGAAATCTCTGAGAATCGGCGGGCTTGGAGGATGTGTTGGGCGCCGCGGCCGCTCCAGAGCGTTCCGGAACGCTCCGAGAGCGCTCCGGAACGCTCTGGATCGATTTATCCCGATCTTCGCCCTGTTTTGGAGGGCCCCGAGAGGCCGAAATCGGGGAGCAGCCTCCGTCGTCGGCGCTCTCGGGGCGCGGGGTGTCTGGGCACCGCCTCTCCGCTGGAGCCGCCGGGCCGTGCGCCGCGTGGCGTCCGACGGAGAGGGCGGCGACGAGGCGGACACGGAGGCCAGCCACGTGCAAGGGGGGGGGCCGGGGGCGAGGGCGGGGCTTCTCAGAGGCGCCCCTGCCCCGTGGAGGGCGCGGGCCCCCTTCTGTGTATTTGCATGCGGGCAGGGTCTATATATCCACATCCAGGGCGTCTTGGAGCTTCGGGCTCTCTTCCCCCAGCAAAATGAGGCGCACTGGAGGAGGAGGTCGAGGAGGAGAGGAGGAGGTCGAGGAGGAGGTCGAGGAGGAGGAGGTCGAGGTGGATATGGATTAAAATCTTGACCCAGAAGGCCCGATTTCATCCACATCCGGCGCGCCTCGGCCTTGCGGCGCCCCTCCCACGAAAGTCCAAGACGCACTGGATGTGGATATAAGTACTGCCCGCATGCAGGGCGAGCGCTCTCTCTATCACAAAGCGGCCGCCTCCCGAGAAGCCTTCCCTCCTACCCCCCACGGCAAGTTCGCGTCGCGTCGACCGGCGGCGACCCCAGTGCGTGCGTTGAAAGTTGAACGCCGCCCGTGGCCCAGAATCGGCCTGCTGTTGAACGATCTGGCGTTCATGGAACGGCCGACCGTTCAAATTTGAACAACCCCGCGGTGTCGGGAACCAACACCGGGGTCGACACGACGTGAAGTTGCCGTGCCCCCCCGTGTGTGCGCCGCCAAGGAGGGCACCCTGCTGCAGAGCACGCTCCTGAACCTCGGGGACTCCTCCGGGCAGCTGCGGCAGCTGGAGGAGTACATGGTCAGGCACGTGGGCCTCGCCGCCGAGGCAGGGGGCCTGAAGCACGCCTCGACGGCCCTGATGTGGAGGATGTTGGAGATCACCAGGCTTGAACCTCAATAATAAAAATATTAATAATGATACCAGTAATAATACATATATACGATTAATGATACGACGAATACTAACAATCAGACTAATAGTAACAACGTTCACTTATCACATACAGCACATACCGATGCGAACAGCAACACTGCGAATGATCCAATTCGTAATGCTACGAAGCATGCTGCTAATAATCGGAATGATGCTGCGAAGTCGAATGCGAATAGTAATGCGGAGATGTTCCACGCCAACACACATACGATCAAGACTCGTAATGATAGTTTTACGTAGTTCTGCTACTCCCAATGCTAGTCAACTTCGTACCACAACGCTTACGAAGCAGACTAAGCATACGAACGCTTGTACTGCGAATGCATGGCCATGGCATAGTCATTCGAACAGTTATGTGCCGATGCCGGAATCTCCTCCTCCGTCCTCCTCTCTCCTCCTCTCTCCTCCTCATTCTCCTCTTGCTCCTCCTCGTTTTCCTCCTCATTATCCTCTTGCTCCTTTCTCCTCCTCATTCTCATTCTCCTCCTCCTCCTCCTCCCCCTCCTCCTCCTCCTCCTCCTCCTCCTCCTCCTCGTTTTCCTCCTGCTGCTGCTCCTCCTCCTCCTTCTCCTCCTCCCCTTCGCCAGGCGGAAGCGGCAGCTCCTGCAGGCCGTGGAGGCCCGCACCGAGGCGCTGGAGGCGGAGGCCGCCCGAGGCCCCGAGATGCTGCGCGAGGTGAGCGACTCTAGAAAACGGGGTCGTCTTCGCCGACATCGGCGCATAGAGGAGGAGGAGGAGGAGGAGGAGGAGGAGGAGGAGGAGGAGGAGGAGGAGGAGGAGGAGGAGAGGACGGAGAGGAGACGGAGGAGGAGGAGGAGGAGGAGGAGGAGGAGGAGAAGGAGGAGGAGGAGGAAGAGGAGGAGGAGGAGGAGGAGGAGGAGGAGGAGGAGGAGGAGGACGGAGGAGACGGAGGAGGACGGAGGAGGAGGAGGAGGAGGAGGAGGAGGAGGAGGAGAAGAAAAAGAGGAGGAGGAGGACGAGGAAGGGGAGGAGGAGGAGGAGGAGAAAAAAGAGGAGGAGGAGGTCGTCTTTGCCGACGTTGGTGCGTAAGCTGCCCGCGTAAGGTCGCGCGCAAGTGCCCTCACTTCCAGCGTGGCGTGCCGCGCTGGCGGCCCGCGTAAGCCACCGCGTAAGGTCGCGATGCCATCCCGCGTAAGACCCGTTTTTGTTCGTCGCTCAGGTGGTGGCCGGGAGCCTCGAGAGGCCGCCGGAGCTGATGAAGCTCGAGGTGTTCATCGCGGGCGTTGCTAGAGGTGCAGAGGAGGAAAGCGAACGAAGCTTCGAGGTTCGAGGTTTTTCCGGGCGTCCCCGTCGGTTCTCAGGGCTTTCCAGCCTCGGCTCGGGATGCTCTCCAACGGCGGCGCCGCCTCGCCTAGAGCGGTCCAGGGGTGCCCGGATCGTCTCGAGCGGCCGCCAGGAAGTCGAGCAGTGACCCGAGAACCCAGGGATTTGGCATCTCTCGGACGTGTGCATCTATTTGTTCTCGGCGTGGGCCATCGAGGCGCAGATTGGATCGATCATCTTACGAAAAACATGCGTGTGACATCGATTATCCTCAAATTTCTGGTCAGAACGCATCCCGGGAGGGGTTCCAGGAAGCAGCGGTACCAGTTTTCATGTTTGGTCCCTCCGAGGCGACCGCTGCTGGGGATCCTGGGGATTCCTAGGGTTCCCTTCGGATTCCCGTCGGATTCTTGGGGCTTCGTGGGATTCCGAAGGATTCCTACGGATTCCTCGGGATTCTTCGGGCACCCGACTACAACTGCTTTTATCAATAGTCTTACCATTATGATCATTACTTTTACTACTACCACTACTACTACTACTACTACTACTACTACTACTACTACTACTACTACTACTACTACTACTACTACTACTACTACTACTACCTACTACTACTACTACTACTACTACTACTACTACTACTACTACTACTACTACTACTACTACTACTACTACTACTACTACTACTACTACTACTACTACTACTACTACTACTACTACTACTACTACTACTACTACTACTACTACTACTACTACTACTACTACTACTACTACTACTACTACTACTACTACTACTACTACTACTACTACTACTACTACTACTACTACTACTACTACTACTACTACTACTACTACTACTACTACTACTACTACTACTAACTACTACTACTACTACTACTACTACTACTACTACTACTACTACTACTACTACTACTACTACTACTACTACTACTACTACTACTACTACTACTACTACTACTACTACTACTACTACTACTACTACTACTACTACTACTACGACTACTACTACTACTACTACTACTACTACTACTACTACTACTACCCTGTAACGCCCCTCACGGGGGTAGAAACCAATCGGGTGCAGTTTATTCCGTGGAGCGTCGTGTTGTCTCCTCCTCCACTCGTATTCTTGCGCCAGAGGTCCACCTCTGAGGCTCTCGGAAGGTTCCACAAGGCTCGCAGGAGGTCAGAAAAATGCCCCGAACATCGAGGACTAAGTGATTCGAGGTTTCGTCTTCGACTCCGTTCCCAGAGCCCCGACGTGGTGTCTGTTCATCGTGTCGGCGCCCTTGTTGTCGTGAACTTCTCCTCGGAGGGCCTCCTTTGTGACGCTTCCGAGAGAGGGGAGGAGGGAGGAGGGAGGAGGGAAGGAGGAGGGAGGAGGACGGATGGGGAGGAGGCGGATCTCGCGCACGGCGCTATCGGAGCCATCGAGGCTACGGATGAGGTAGGAGGAGGAGGAGGAGGAAGAGGAGGAGGAGGAGGAGGAAGAAGAAGAGGAGGAGGCGGAGGAGGAGGAGGAGAGAGAGGAGGAGAAGGAGGACGAAGAGGGGGAGGAAATATTAAACGCAGGACGGATGAGGAGGCGGATGACGACGACGAACAGGAGGAAGAGAGGGAATGACTCCCGTCCTGGAGCCTCTTGGTGTCGCCTTGGCTCTCCTAGAGCGTGCTGGGGGTCCTGTGGCCTGTTTGGGCTCTTCGGGGCCTCTTGGGGCCTCTTGGAGCCTCCTGGGCCCTCTGGAGCTCCCTGAGTGTAACTCCAAGTGGGTCCTCTCGGGGCCCTCCCGGGGCCGCCATGGACCCTCCTGGAGCCTCCGTGGGCCCTCTAAGAACTCTCTCGCGGGAGCGGAATGATGAAAACAATGTCACGCATGGGGGCTTTTCCGTTGAGAAGGGGGGCGCGGTGCAGAGTGGGTCCTCCTGGGGCCCTCCGGAGATCTCCCAGGCACTCCCGAGGCCGCCATGGGCCCTCCTGGAGCCTCTGGGGGCCTCTAAGAAGACTCTCGCGGGGGCTGAAAAATGACGACAGTTTCACGGATGGGAGCCTTTCCGTTGAGAAGGGGAGCGCGGTGAAAGGTAATAAAGTGACGACAGTGTCGCACTTGAGGCCCAAAATCGTCTTTGGGCACCTCGGGCGCGAATCCCGCTCCCGCATAGTACGGTGCGATTTCCCCTCCCCCCGCTGTCCCGCGGGACCCTGGGAGGGTGATTTTTGTGGTTTTCGCTTGTAAGAAACACTTCCCCCCCCCTCTCGACGGTGACGG